TTTCTATGCCACAAAGTGGATTAAATGATCTCTGAGGTCCCTTCCAGCCTAGGCCATTCTATGATTCTAAAGGTCTTCCTGTGTCAGCAATACTTCTGAATTATTTGTTGAGATGGCCCTGTCCCACCCTGAGCAAGGGTGCTCTCAGTCACCTGTAGCCAGGGAAGCAACTACATGACGCTGCTTTGTGCCACTTGTACATGATGGTGTCTTTGTGGCTTCCAGACCTGGAACATCTCTTTCTTTTGGAGCTACTTAATGGGCATATTCCCTGTGTCAGATGTAGTTAAGGTTGTTCCTGTGTCCGCTGGCACAGCATTTTCCTTGTTATCTGTCAGGATATTTCTGCGACGCCTGCAGAGCATTTCTGTGTCTTGTGTTGAAGGTTTACGTTGAACATGGGCTGTGTGCGCTCCCTCGGCAGCCCCTCAGGAGGAGAGATGTTTCCTGTCACATGTGCAAGGCCAGTCCTGATCACACTGACAGCAACTGTGTGCTCTTATGAGGGACACAGTGACCAAGGCCGTGATTCACCTCTCAAACTATTTGTTAAGATCGTTCTGATTTAGGAAAGAGGTGTCCCTGTGTCACAGGACCACAGTTGCCCTCACCAGTAAAAGGGGAACTGGGAAAGGTGACGATGCTTCCTACTGGTACAGCTAGTGCTGTCACCCAGGTGGCATCTCCAGACTCATCCTGCAGCTGAAGACTTGCTTCATCACAGCACCCCTTCCAAGAGCTGCTTTCCTGTCAGATGCCCGTTCCTTAAGCTTTTACTCCCTAGCATTGCTCCTCATCAGTTGAAGTGACTGTTGCACACCGGAGTGCCACTCCTTGTGAGATCTGCTACTCTTTCCCAACTCAAATTTTCCCCATGAGCCCTCCCTTCACTTTCACCCCCAGCCCTTTGATGGACTCCATCACTTCCCCAGAGGCCTCTCCGCTCCTTAGCGCCGCCTTTGCTCATACACATGCAGTTGTCAGCTCCCATACTTCGTGTATTACAGTATTTGAGGCATCTCCTGGTAGCCCAGCTCATAAAATCATGCTTAGATGAGAATTGCAACCTTGATCTAAACCCAAATACGTGTGTCTGTCCCTTGCAGTTTCAGGGAGAAAATGTAAACACATCCTCTCTAGGTTTTGACACCAGAAAACAAACACAGGGGATTTACAGTCCTTTGGTTTTGAAGAAAATATAATGATGTATGACTGTGAATGTCTCAGTATTAGCAACGCAAGACACATAAACCTGTCTTTCAGGATCATCTCTGTGAAACTTCCTCCACTTCATAAGTAAAAACCATATGCACAGTTCCTATTATTGCTCTGTGAAGTTTGGGATTTGTGTCCCCTACCATTATTAAGTCAGATACTACTGAAAGCTGTTTAGACAAGGTTTACCTTGAGGTAGCCTACAGGCCTCTGCCAGAAGTTTTTTTTTCTTTTGTAGATTTTAAAGCCTAGGCCATGGCAGAGTGCCCCCCCGTCGTACCCAGAACTCCCACCTAAACTAAAGCATTGCCTTTCTCCTTACTTTTCTAACTCTCCCTATCTGTTTGCTTGCTTTGATCATTCTGATTTCTTACCTAACCCAGTTCCTTCCCTTTCTCCTCCCTTCATCCTTTTCTTTCTCACTGACAATAGAGGTCCTTTCTTATCAGCTGGTCCTGAGTTTCCCAAATACACATACGCACTTACGTACATGCACACATACTCACTGACACAAATAAATAAATAAATAAAAAGGTCAGCGAGCAGAGCAGCAATAACCCCTAAAACAGTACTATCAGAGGGACATGATTGATCAATTGAATTCCATAGCGGCTGAAAAATGTGGGATTAAGCAGTGTATTATACGCACAATGAGTTGAGGCATGATGTTCATTTCAAGTTCATTTCGCCAGCCCTCTGCCACCAGATCAGGCAATCAATAGGGGCAGCAGATATCATATATCACCTCTCTCCGTGCTAGGGAGAGAGCACCATAATCTCTCGCAAATTTAGAGTGACAGATTTGTCAAGATCTGAAGGGCCCCTGAATAAATGAAGGAAAAGAGACTCCTACAGCGACTTGGGAAAGCTGTGGTTTCAGCTTCTTCACACAAAGGCACGGCCTGTGCACACACAGAAGACACACATGAACTGGGCTCTGCAGGCAGACAGGAATTGCAAATACATGTGCGTGTGTGCACTAGTCTGTGTAACCACCCAGTGCAGCTCACTAAGGGTAAAATCCGGTTTAATGACAATCAATGGAAGTTTTACTGTTGTTGTGGTTTAACCCCAACTGGCAGCTAAGTACCAGCCACTAGGAAGAAAATTAACTCTGTCCCAGCCAAAACCAGGACAATCATGTATGTGAACACCCATCCACTCACCCCAAACACCAAGTGTGGTGTAGGGCTGCCATCCTTGGAAATCAAAGATAGCCTAAACCAGCCACCACAGATAAACTGCTGCTCAGGCATGTACAGTGATGCAAAATCTAAAGAATACCGGAATAAGGATCCACTGCAAAAATACCCATGTGTACTAGCATCATGGTGTGCAGAGTCGTGCACACTGACTGATACATGTGGAAAAATCCTCAAAGGCAAAGAGCTTCACAGGCTTCTCAGGCTGCAGATAGGCTCGCACAAGTGCTGATACGGAAACACAGAGAGAAGTGCCTACAGGAACTGTGAGCATGAGCCTTGAGCTACCCTAGTCCTCCTGAAAGCCACCCTCTGCAATAATAGCCCAGTTCATCTAAAATACGAAAACTGCACTGACATACACAGTGTGCAGTCCACCAAGTCTGATCTTTGTTTTGTTTTCTTGTGGTCAAATCCGTCATGACCTCCAGCTTCCAGGAACTTGAGAATTTTCCCATGTGCAAATAATAAGCCTGAGGCGAGGAGAAAATGCCAGGGATCAGTGCCAGTAAACAGCCCTGCTCTGGCTAGGAGTGGGAAAGAGAGAGAGAGAAGGGGCTGCTCGAGGGAAGGCTGCTGGCTGGGACAAATCAATATGTAATATTTTCTATGGGCTTGTGAGTGGTACTGTACTACGCTACTGTATATAATGTACTATTGATTATATCATATCGTATAATCACCTATAAACGGATATATCTTATAGCTAGAAGGCAGCGGGCTTGGTTATAACTCTGGGCCACCAGTTGGGCATTAACTGTGCCGGGAAAATACTCATCTTGGCACTATCCACGAGCTAAAAGATGAAGCAGCGGAGTGGCATGGTTCTGGCCATTGCGCAGTGAATGCCGCTCCAGGCTCCTGGGAGCATCATCTGCCCATGAGCACCTCGCAGTTGCACGGAGGAGGGAGAAGGTCTCTACAGACCCCTCAGCCACTTCCTTGACAGACAGCAAGTTTCTGAGATTCACAGACTGGAAGCCACCAAAAAAGGCTGAAGAATGACGAATAATAGTGCAAAAGCAGGAAGGTAATCACAGCACAAGAGGGAGACCCTGATCTTAGACAGGGCGATAAGACAGTCTGATGAAGCACAGTAGGCAGAGATTCAGCGTGGAGCGTATGGAGGTATATCAGCATGGCTGAGACAGGGGATTATAACCAGTCTCACCAAAGTTAGGCTGAGAGGTGACAGCAGAAAGATACTCAGCACAGTTGGAGAAGATTATAATGAGCAGATTTGCCTCAGATGAGATGAGGGATTATGACAAAGGAAGATTCACTTCAGCTGGGACAGGAGGTTATAACAGACAGACTCACCTTGGATGTGACAGATGCTAATAGCAGGAGACTCACTCACTTCAGATAAAAAGGGGTTATAACCGAGATAAATGCACCTCATTTGAATTGGGGATAACAGGGAGGAAAAAAACCCACACCACAACCAAACAGAACCAGGTGGGTGATAAGATGGTTTATCACAAGGAAAGCTTCACTTTGGATGGGGCGGGGCATTTATAATGGACTCACCTGAGAGGGGAGGAGTGGGCTGTAAGAGATGGGGGCTGGCACGACAGAGGTAGAGACGCCTGGGACGTGGCAAGAAGCACCACAGTAAGAGTGGACTGTGTCAGAGGGCTGTTTCAGGGACAAAGATGTACTTCTGGTGATGCCTCTACCAGAAAAAGGCTTTTTTTTTCCCTAGTAAGAAAAAAAGATATCAGGAAGGCAGATTCCCACTGAATAGGATTAGGTTTTGTAGTGCAGTAATTTATTTTGGATAGGAAAAGGGACTGACAGAGACAAAGATTCATCTCATTTTGGAGGGAATTTTGTAAGAGAGATACCGTTTGTGATAAATCATGAGCTACACGTAGGAGAACAGGACAAAGATCGTAGCAGAAACCAATGTATGTTGGATGGGACAGGCACCCCACAGGGAGACACTTGTCCCTGGTGAAACATAGAGTCAGAAACAGGATCATTCCTGTTATATGGGGGTGATGAAGGACTCATCTGGGGTATGACAGGACAAGATCAGATGAGAAGGAAATTATGAGAGATATAACTTCTGTTGAGCCAGAGGAGCTGTAGCAGAGCCTGACTCCCTTCCAAGCTCTAAGAGAGCCCTTTTTCCACTCCAGGCTTCCTTGACCCTCTCTCGTACAGGTCCGTCCTCAGCACTCTGGTTTCTCTGTGAGCTGCCTCTCCAGTAGCCTTCTAGCGATGCTAATCGCTGTGCTTTGCTCCCATTTTATGCTCAGCAATGGAGATTTGGCAATTTTTAACACTGAAAATCAGCGGAACCGAAACTCATCGCTGAGCTGAGCACCATTCTCCGCAGCTTCACTCATCCTGGGCAGGAGAGCCCCACAAGAGGCCGCGGGAGCAGGCTGGCTGCTCTGGCAGACAGGAGGGGGCTTCCCTTGGGTCCCCGCAGCCTTCCCTTCCCACAGGAGAGGCACAGCTCAAGGGCCGAGGCAGAGGACCCTGCTCTTCCCCACTCTCTCCTTGTCCTGCATCCCTTGCTGATCCGAGCCAGGGTGATGCTAACTCCCTGTTTTCTCTGTCTGTGCCCTGCAGATGTATCCGAGGGCTCAGTTCCCAATGGAGATTCCCAGAGCAGCGTGGACAGTTTGCGGAAGCACCTTCGTGGCGACACTTTCACCCAGCAGCAGCTGGAAGCTTTAGATCGAGTTTTTGAGCGTCCTTCTTACCCTGACGTCTTTCAAACATCAGAGCACATCAAATCTGAGCAGGTGAGGGCCTGGCCTGGTAATGGGGACCCACAAGCACCTGTAGGATGATGGCAGGGAGATTCCCTCACCGAAATCACTCTCCCCTTCTTCACCCCTTGTTCTCACACTGACCTGTTACTGCACATACATCACATTGACATTTTGCAGCACTTTCTAGTTGTAATTATATCACTGTGCTGATGCACACGTATGCACGAGTGCTACCTCTTCTCATGAACTTGCTGTATACACACATGCTCTGTTCTCCCTAAATCCCAATGTCCGCCCTTCCCTGTGCCCACCCCCCTGTGGGTCCGCGGGCACGTTCCTGCCATGAACACGCAAACGCTGCCGTGCACGTTCACTGGCACCGAACACTGAACGCAAACTCCTGCACTCTCAGATCACGCCGGTGACCAGCGAGCTACAGGGCTGGGCTTTAACAGAGCATTTTCCTTCATGGCCCAAAGCTGAGACTTGACTCCCATCTCCAACCTAGTTTTCTGCACTTCGGCAGCTCTGCCCCCCCTTTTCCTTACGCCCCCAGTCTTTTATCCCAAAAGCTGTTTGTCTTAATAAAATGAAAATCAAAAGTCTTTTTAAACCGCCCCAAGCCATAAACCAACAAAGGAAGAGAAGGAGAGGCTGGCTGTGGACTCCCTTCATCCCAGAGTCCCTGGGTTTATTACAATGAATAACCTTTATTTACTTTCATTAGACTATTAAGCACCAGCACAGTCATTTTTCCCCCTGAAACTCTGAGCAGGGCCCATAAAGCAAATCCGAAGCCTAATTGAGTTCATTTTAATTTCTCTCCGATCACAGCGAATTACTCTGGTGATAAATCAGGGGGCAGGCTCACCCCCAGTAGAAGGCCTAATTTGCAGCTAATTACAAAACTGATTTCTACAGGAAGATCAATACGAGAAGGAATTGGAAATGACTAGGCAGTCCTAGCCAAGCAGGGACAGGGGCGGGGAAGGGGCAGCGTGCAGGGAGCCCGCTGGAGGAGGGGGAGATGTGGGGAGGGGGTTGGGGAAGCGC